ATTTAAATAAAAATAAAGTTTCACACCTATTAATTTGACCATATGTGTATATATATAAAAAAAAAAACAAATATTTATTGCATATTAATATTATTATTTTAAACTTAACAGTTTAATAAAAGAAAAAATAATAACAAAAACTCTCGTGTTTTTAATTACTTCGAATTTTATTTATATCCGGGTTTAATTTTTACTTCACTTAAAAACAAAGTCGATCTGCGAAAAATATGAATTAAGTGCGTGAAAAATGTATAAAAAATCAAGTCTTTTAGACTTTAAGAGATTTAATTCGCAGATAATAGGGCACAAAATGGGACTCCTATTAGAAAAATAAAGTATAGTTATTTCTCTTAATTTAAATAATCTTTGCTGAGGAATTTTTGATTTTTCATAGAGCTATCAGACGACTTTGCTTACATTTGTAGTGACCCAATATGTCAAGTTGATTAATTCTCTGAAATTGCAGGTTATTAGCAAAAAAAACGACAACACATTCATTTATCGTTAATTGAAACATTTTTATTAATACTAGATTGCGACCCAATTTCCGATTCCCAATTCCAATATCAAATGAAGGAAATCACAGTTATTTGCTTGTTCCATAGGTCTTTTATTGACTTTATTTGTTGTGTTATTCTTTGTATTATTTTATCTGCATTTTATTTTTGAAATATTTTATAAAAAGTACAATTTGGTTCGTTTATATTTGTATCTATATGTAACTATTGTATGTAAGTATGTATAATCGTTGTCTGTTTGTTTATCAAAGTGTTCCCGGAGAAAAACTTATAATTGTATATGCACTCGTACTCATATTGCTTACGGGCTATTCCTATTTATGTTAAAGCGGTAGCAGTTGGGATGGGGGACCTGCATATCCAGTTTCTTAGCTTCGATTGCTTTGATCTGATGCACATAGATATTGATTTAGTTTAGAATTAAGCTGACTCTGTTAATGGTTGTATTCATGGGAATTTGTATACATACATATTCTGAATGGATTATTTTTGCTGACTATTTATATTCTTGGCTGAATCTGAGGTCTTTGACAAATTCATTGTTTTCCTAGCTCTAGCTGCATTTTGTAAATGAGTGTATATTTTCATATATGTATATATATGTATATATATAGATGTGTATATGTATACGCTGCTTATTTTCCTCTTTATTTCTGTGTATATAATTTATATGCAAGAATATAATTGTTTTACAATAAAGCCTGAGGCACATTTATGACAAATTTTTAAATTTTTTTTATTTTTAATTTTTACATTTCAAAATTTAAAGAACGCATTTTTCTTTAGTTGTGTGTATTTAAAAATTTTACTTTGTTTTACAAACAAACTAACGTTAATATTTTGCAGAATTAAGAATTTGTGATTTATATAAGTGAAATCTTAAAGTTAAACTTTGTTCAAAGCCGTAAAAACCCAAAGAATAGATGATTAAACATAGGAATTAGGAATTGGATTGGTTTTAGTAACACTAAATTTATAGATAATAGACCGTGAATTACATATAAAATTAAATCTAAAGAATTAGCTATAATAGGAGTCACTGCTCTCATTATGCATTCTCATTCCAAACAAAACACTTTCAATAACAAACAAACACTTAATGCTAGTCAACGACCACTTAATATGGTCTGGCGATAGGGTAGAAAATATAACAATTTAATTGAATAGAAAATCGAAATTACAGAGTACCTAATACATAGACTGTTAATAAAATCGAAAGAAGGTCGACCAATTTAAGACGTACGCTTAAGCTAGCAACGTTATCTGATTAGACAGTTTAAATTATAAATTGATTTGATAACAAATACGCCACGTTACGTTACGTAATTTCAGACACACACTTAGATATTGAAAATTGATAATTATTGTTGAACGCTTGGTTGTTGGTTTGGGCCCTCAACTTTTGGTAGCTTAGAACTATTCTGTTTGTTTAGTTTGGGCTCTTCTCGGAATCGGTAAACCAGCTCAGTCCCTGCTGGGGGCATTTAAAATGTTACAATCTTTTATCAGCTATGTGTATATAAATATTCTTCTTTTAAAACCGCTCCACGTCGAATTCATTCAGACTTTAAGTTCGTTTCATTTGTAAGGTTCTCTACTCTAGTACTTTTGTATCCTTAATCGTTTATGTTTACAGTTTTGTCTCTAAATCAAGGGTCATTGGATCATCTAAAAATAAAGTATTCAACTGTGGAAAATTGTCAACCTTTATCAGCTGAGTTCCACTTTATAACAATAATATGCCAGATTTACAGCAGAGGCATATATTATTATAGATACTACATACACAAACAAACAAGTGTATATGCACGCACATACAGATAACAACGGCCTGAGGGATACTTGGTTCAGGAGGGTTCCAATGACATACAAAAACAAATACATCGACATTCCAATTTACACAAATTGCTTATTGGATAAACGTGAAACCAATTGGAGCTTAGCTTAATAAATTTCTTTGTGTTTCTGTGGTCGTCCGCTAGCGAATTGCGAAGAGAAAGCTCATGTTAGGGCACATTAAATATGATACAACAATTACTTAAGATAAACATAACAGAAATACGTTAAGCACAATACAGACTATGTTATGTTCCTCTATCCGAATTGTGATTCGAAATTTCTGGTGCCAGAGAAAATTCGGGAGAGTGAGTGAGAGACACTTATAGCTTATCCACATGCTGCAGCAAACAGGCCATAACCAGCTCCTCTGGCTGTGTCTCGCTCGCAATCTCCGTCTGCGTTTGAGCTTTCTCTTCGGGCAAATTCTACAAGCTGTCGAGTATATCGACGGCGCCAATTATGGCCTCAACATCGCTGTTATTGGGCGCACCGTCATCAATCAGCGTATCGGGGCTAAGCGCCAAGACGACATCTGTGGCGCTATTAAAAGCTGTCACAGCTGGCGACGACAGACTGTCAATTGTGTTGCCGTTGATCAAGAAGTCGCGATGCAGCTCGACTGGGCTATAGCGGAAACAGGGCGTCGTTATGGGCGTTGTTGGCATTGATTTGGAAATATCCAAGGCATTGCGTGCAGTATATGATTGACCGCCATATCCCACATTGCTGGCGCCCCAATTGAAGGCTGGTGAGATGTTGAAGAAGCCACTGGCCGTATTGGCGTTTCCATTGGCAGTGCTCAGGCCACTACTGCAGCTCTGCAGCTGCGACTGCTGATGCGGCAGCGGGGTGGAGGGTACAGAACGGGACACAATTCCGCCCGCACTGCCGGCACTGCTGTAGCCGCTCGAGGAGCCAGCCGAGGAGCTGCATGTGGTTGTTGTCTGTATGCCGCTAAACTTGTTATTGAAGCTTGGTGAAATAAGCGCACCGACATCCACATCATCGTAGAGCAGACCTGCCGACACATCCACATCCCCGCCGCCTAGCTTCAATGTGCCGACCGACTGCTGACTGTTGCTGTTTTCCGAGAAGAGCGCATCTTTCACTACGCCAGTGGTGACGGCCTGGTTCAGCAAGCGGTTGTAGCCCGCCGTGGGAGAGTGGTTACTGCTGCGTTGCAGCTGAGACAACGGCACTGATTGCGAGCGTTGCGTTTCGTTTAGCTCCATATTTGCGCCGCTTAGCGCCAGACTTGTTTCCAAATCCATCGAATTTTGGTTAACCAGCAGTTCCACATTGCTGTTGTTGTCGCTGACGTTATTCTCGTTGAACTGGTTGCTGTTGCTGCTGCCAGTGCCGCCCATAAACGACCAATTGACGCCCATGCACTGCTGCAGCAGCGAGGGACTGGGCGGCGCCGAGGCAGAAGTGCTGGGATAGCTGTAAACGTAGCTGCGTCTACGTCTATGCGCACCAATCATGGGATCCCCATTGCCGTTGTTATTGTCAAAGTCAAGCGATTGCTGTTTGGTCAACAGACTGGAACGCTGACGCATGCACGATAGGCCCGGACTGGCAAAGCAGTTCTGCGTGGTCGATTTACCAGTTGCTGCAACTGCGGCTGTTGCTGTTCCTGTTGCAGCTGAAGGTGTTGCTGCCAGAGCTGGAGTTGGTGCAGCAGCTGCTGGAACTTTGCTGTTGCTGTTGCTGTTACCGCTGCTATTGATGTTTGGTGAAATGGGCAAAAAAATGCAGTTCTTGTTGTTGCCGTTGCTGGACGCGTTGCTTAGACTAATTTTGCGTTTATTACTGTTGTTGTTGTTGTTGCTGATCGTTTGCAGCTGTTGCTGTTGTTGTTGCTGCTGCTGGTGTTGTTGTTGATGCTTTCGTGACATTAGTGCCAGAGACGCTGAGGCAGAACCCACAACATTTGCTGCTGCCGCTGTTGTTGCTGCTGTCGTTGGCAAGGGCGTTGATCGACGCATCTGCGACTGTTGTTGCTGCTGATGTAATTGTTGTTGCGTCGGTTTCACTGTTGTTGTCGCTGTTGCCGTTGCCAATCTGGCTGTTGCTGTTGCCATTGCATTGGTTACTGCAGTGGCTAAGGCAGCCTGTGGATTTCTGTTTTGTTCTGCTTGAGCATCTAAGGAATTCAGTTGTTTTTCCTCAGCGTCTCCCATCTGAAAATATTGAAGCAGCTCAGTATCTGGCCCTTCAGAGTTCTCTTCCTCATCCTCGCCGGGCAGAAAGTAGTCGTCTAGCTCATGCTTGTCCATATTGCATATGCTAATTACGCGCTCACGTGGCAATCCGAGGTTCTCAGCCAATCCAGTATCCTCTGTGGCGGCGGCTAGAGCTGCTGCATTCTCAGCAATCAAGCGTTTGGCCCGCAGCGACATCATATTCCGCGACGCAACCTTCGGTACGGTAGTGTTCGTCTCAAGACTGCTTGACGGGCTGATGGAGCTGGGATGATTCATTTGCGCTGGTGGACCCATTGAGAGCACCGCTACATTAGCGGGTGCGCTTTCAACTGTTGGCTGTGCGAGAGGCGGCGGAGTCGCGGCTGTTGTCGTTATTACTGGAGGCACAAGTAAAGTGCCGGTGCCGGTCCCGGTGCCGGTCCCGGTGCCAGTTGCACTGGCACTGCTGGGCGAGTTGGCCCAAAAGCCTTTGGTCTGCTGTGCTTTTAGCACTTTTTTGCAAAATATATTGGTGGTGTTATATTCCTCTGCCTCGTCCTTTATGACCAGTGCACTGGGCGATAATGGCTGCGGTACTGTTCCAGCAGTTTGCAGCTCCAATAGCTTAGGAGTTAGATTTCGGACTGCATTACTGCGCGGCTCTGTGGCCAAATTCATCGGCAAAACCTGCTGCTGCTGCTGTTGCGGCGGCTGCTGAAGCGGCTGGGAAGTCACAAAACCACTGGGTGAGTCTATAATCTCCTGCTTGATCTTTAGCAACTGCTCTGTTTTGTGTTCTTCGATGACTGCTTCCTGGCTACTTCCTGCATCTTGAGCGCCGCTCAGTTGATTGCAACTCGACTCCGACGATGTTGAGCCTTTGCGTTTCTTTTTACGTCGTTTCTTTAGCGGTCCCATGTCCTGTTGATGCGATGTTGATAAGAAATTGTAGTATTTATATATTACTAGTGAACTTACTGCAAGCGATCGCTTCTCTTTGGGCTCTCTGGGCGTGTACTTTTTGGGTGCCAATGCCGCATTAATTGTGGCATTGTTGTTCTTGATTCGCGCGGCCAATTCGGTAACGCTTTCTAGCTTGGTGTTAAGAAGCTTTTCTGCCCAGCTGCGCACCACATCCCAGTTGCACTCGTTATCTGTTTTGGAGCCATGTGTCTCCGCAGCGACATTCGGTGTTTGCATCATCTGTGCGGGAGAGGTCTCCGTTGTGTGAGCGTCATCGAGTGGCTCATCTTTGCACAGCTGCGGCAGCAGTGGCGGCGGCAGTTTCGTGGTCTTCCGCATAGCTGCATAGCAGTAGCGTGAATTGCCACGCGTGCCTAGACGTCGTGGTCGAACGCCAGGGAACACCTGCTTCATGACCTTACCAAAGTCCGCAGTTGACAGCGGCTTGATGCTCAGGCGTTCACAATAGGCTCTGAAAAGTCAGATATACATATTTCATAACATCTTAGTATTAAACGATTGCGTCTTGCTAAGCGACTCATCCATCTAAATGTAAATCTGAGGTCACTTACATGTAATCATTGTAAACGTCCTGTTTTGGAATGGAGACCTGAGCATCATGTTCAAGATGTGAGCGTACCCAATTAATGGTGTGATTAATTTCGGATCGGGTGCCCAATGGGTTCTGCGGCTGTCTCAGTGGGTCCGTATCGGCACTTTCGCCGGGCAGGCGCAGATATAAGAACAATTTTTCAATAGGCTTCAGCGCTGCCACACTTTCCAGAATTTGAGCGATCTGTACTTTTGCAGTATGACTAAATGGAATGGATAATTAATAAGTATTACTACAGCCAGTATTCAGTTACAGCCACTCACTCCAAGCTAGCTTCGATGACCTGTTGGACGCGTCGCATGCGTTCGTCGTCGCTGGTTAGGGAATTCATTACATTTTCCGCAATTGTGGAATTGATGGCGCCACTGGGAGCAGCCGGTGGCGTAGTTACTGAGCCACTTTCACCGGGATGTGTGTGAGGATGGTGTTGTGGAGGTTGTGGATGCTTTGGAATAGCTGCAGCTGCATGCGTTCCTGATGCCGAAGAAGCATTCATTGCATGCATAATCTTGCCCAACTCCAACTGCTGAGCGCTGTTAAAGGCATTGACAAACGCAAGACCAGCATTGCCAGCGGCCGCTGCAAAGGGATTGGGCGTCAGCACAGATGTGGTATTACTGACGGCTTGTCCTGGCGCATTCACACTTGGAAATGCAGGCGGCACGAAGCCCCCGCTGGGAACAGGTACATTTGTAGGTGTGGGTGACACCTGGGACTGGGCGAGTGCCAGAGATGGTGGCACAATCGGTGCAATGGTTAGTGGCGATGACTTAGCCGCTTGCAAATGAATGGATGGAGCCTGGAACCGTCCAGAGGTATAGGTCGGAATGTCCGGCACTGGAACAGTGACACCACATATACCATATGGGCTTGTGGCAACTGTTGCTTCGTATATTGAATTGGAATTGGGATTGGTTGGCTGGTGCTTCTGCAGCGATGCAGTTGTGCCCCCTGCTGAAGCTGCCGTTGCCGCCGCTGCTGCTGCCGATTTCGCCGTCCACTGCGCTCCACTAATTTGGCCATGCTTCTCGGACATGGTAGCTGGTGGGCTGGCTCTCAAAACACTAACCCGCGAGCCACCAGCCAGCAGCAACCACTCTTCGTTACTTCTGGACGCACTTTGACTTTTTAACGTTATTTGTTTGTTATTGTTTTTCCCGATGCTAACAAATTTGTATTGGTCTAAAAACTTACGCACTAAATGATTGACGCGTGTTTTAGGAGATGAAGATTGCGAAGTCGATAACTGGCGCAACGAACATTTTGGCGACGACGGAAGACACGGATGTTAACAACGCAAGATAATAAACCATTTTGCCAACTGCATGGGCAAGCCAAGTCTAAGGCGAGCATACGCCTTGAGCGCCAGATACAGTAAATACTACGATTATTAAATTCCAATACACAAACTAGATTCTAATAAGATTACAAAATATATTGGAATAATCCATTTTTCGCGGAGATAAGAGCTCCGTTTCTTCTGCGTCTCGAAAAATATACGCGGTATGTGGCCAGATACTGCAACAGTTGATGGTACCGATAAATACCCCATGATTTAATTTGTAAACACCGTGTTGTATCTCGATAGATTTACAATTTATTAAAAAATTTAGTGGATAATAAGTAATCAATAGACTAAAGTTAAAAATTACTTAGATTTATGACACAATCATAGATTAAATCTTTTTATATTATTATGAAAATCTTTTAGATAAATATGTATATGTATTTTTAATTTATTGGTATTTTTAAATTTTAGTATTTTTGCTGCGTACCATTCGTGAAAAGTAAATGCGTAGATGAGTATTTTATAACATATATATTAAGAGCTATTAAATATTTGCATATAAATTTGTTAGTTGTGGACTTTTTGTTTTAAACTTGTAAAAGTGGTTGTTTTTTTGTTTTAATTTTGATGCTGAAAAATTGTTTTGTTATCTAATTTGAACAACTCCAGTGTTATCGATAACGATTAGACAACTGTAATCGCTACTCAGAAAAAATGGCGATTTCTTAAGACGGCTGACGCTTTACCTTTACACAACACGGACAAAATTTTAACACTAAAATACTGTTCTATACCGCAATTAAACAAAAGATGCGCGCTGAACTTGGTCCGAACACTTGTCGTGTGTGCTTAGAGCCCAGCCAACGTTTACAACGGATTGATGAATCCCGCGAGGAGGGTGAGGAGACCCCAAATGAAATGCTTATACAGCTCCTGGGCATTTCTTTTAGTAAGGTGCGTAATATTCGTTATAAAATGAGATGCGCATAAAAGAAGTCTATTTACTTTTTATTTTCTCTGCCTACAGTTGAATGGTAAGGATCAGATCCCTGATGGTATTTGCAAACCATGCAAGGTGGAGCTCAATATGGCATTCCAGTTTCGTGAGAAGGCTTTGCGCAAGCAAGCGGAAATTGAAGACTATTGTCGCGAACTGGGCCTCTTAGATGAAGCCGAGGATTACCTTGTAAAGGAAGAGTTTGGTTCACAGCATCACCAACAAGATGATGAGATGAATGAATTTGTGATGACTGATGCACAAAGTTCGGGTCATGCCGAGGTTGAGGATCATGTACAGGGCGATGAATTTTTGGAAGTCGATGGCTCCCACGAACAGCAAGAAGTCATAACAGATGATATTGAGTACTTGGAGGACAACTATACCATAGAAATGAATCCTGAGCATGGTGATGTCGTCCTTGAGACGAAATATGAAAACACGGTAACGCAAGGCGACATTAAATTGAGGCGTGGTCGAACACGGTTCGGCATGAATATAGTAAAGTCCGAGCAAGGGGGATTACAGCATCAATATGGCCTGGAGGCTGCAGTGGTTGACATCAAACCGAGGCGTGGGCGGCAACGGCCTGGCCTTAACTCACTGCGAACATCGGATGGAAACGAGAAAGGTGGCTATGTTTGTGATGTATGTGGGAATTTCTATGAGAAGCGTGGACGCATGATGGAACATCGTCGGCGCCACGATGCTATTTGCCAATATCAGTGCGAGTAAGTTTCAATAAGTATACACACTATGTTGAATTTCTGTTTTAATATAATTTGCATGCATGCAGACTCTGTGAAGCCAAGTTCCAGGTTCGCGAACAGCTGCGCAAGCACATGTACTCCCACACAGGAAGCAAGCCCTATAAGTGCAGTTTCTGCAGTCGTCAATTCTTCTACGAGAGCGTGCTGAAATCGCATGAAAAGTATGTAGCTACAGGCGATTATTGTAATTATTATAAATTATTAACTATACGCAATTTTTTTATCTGACAGTGTGCATCGCGGCATCAAGCCATATGTGTGCAAAGTATGCGACAAGGCTTTCGCATACGCTCACTCTTTGACGAAGCACGAGCTTATACACTCCGACATCAAATTGTATCGATGCGACTACTGCCAAAAGGATTTCCGCCTGCTACATCACATGCGCCAACACGAGGAGACCAAATGTCATCAGAATGCAGTTATGCTCGCCGAGACATTGAAATACGATCGCGAGGAGCAGGACGTTGAGCTACTGGCTGTGGATGAAATTAAGGACGTCAAACTGCGAATATCACAGCCACATTTGCTCTCTTAGGCACATTTTCTTTATCACCTTTGGACACCACAGCGTATAGAATGAAGGTCCGTGTTATATTTTTAAGTAGGTTCTAAATTTCATTTCACATTTGATTGATGATGATTTAATAAAGTAAATGTGTTATAAATGTAAATTATTTGATGTTGTAAATATACATCTTTGAGAAGAGTCAGCAGTGGAATAAGCCTTTATAATTATTTATTTATTTATTGTTACAAAGAAAACAAAGGCCTTCAGGCAGTAACTTTTATAAATTACAAATTCAGTAGACAAACACAATATCCTTGAAAGTAGTGTACATCAGAAGGGATAATTAATATATTTCTTAATGATATATGTTTGATTGTAATAATAGAATATATATCTTATTAGTATGTCCAGATAGAAAGTAATTCTCTATATAAGTACTTTCTATACATAGATTATTTTAGTCTTTTACATCCGTAAATTTGAATTTCAGAGGTATATTGGGAACATTTATTAAAACACTCTTGAATGCATTTTCCGTGGAGTAATTAAACTCAACATTGAAGTTGCGAATAAGTCGTGCGATTCCCAATTCTAACTCCATTTCGACAAAACGTTTTCCAATGCACATGCGTGGGCCAAAACCAAAGGGCAAGTAAATAAATGGGCTGCTCGCTTTAAGAGCGTGCGGGCACTCCCCTTTTGAAGCTTCTTCTTTGCTCGGTCGCAGCCATCGCTCGGGCAAGAACTCTTTGCCTCTGGGATAGTGCTGATCATCGGTGAGCAAGCCAGTGGACAACATCGTGACCGCTGTTTTGCTGGGAACCTGGTAACCATTTAGCACAATGTCCGATTTGATCACACGAGCATTGCCCAATGCTAAGGGATAAAGGCGCAGGGATTCCTTGATAACGGCCCGCAAGTATGGGACATTTTTCATAGAGGCTTCTGTGAATTCGGAATCCTTGTTTGGTAAAATTTGACGAATTTCCTCACGCAATTTCGCTTGCTTTTCCGGATTTTTAGCCAGACACAGAAGGGCACCTGTAAAAACGGTTGTTGTCTGGAAATGACAGATTTTAAGTGAAGATATTTCAAGCTACAACATTATTAACGACTGCTTCGTACCGTATCTACACCTGCTATCAGCATGTCTACAGCCATAACTTTAGCTATCTGTTGGTCAGTTTTCAAGAGTTTCTCGAGTACGCTCTTTTCGTGGTCCGGTTTGTTGGAGGGCTCGCGTTCTAGTCGCTCGACAGCTTCGTTTACATAGCCTGATGTTATATCCTGGATTTCGTCCAGGACTTTGATAAGCTTCTTGAATTTGGGCGTGGCAACGTAACGCCAAATCGTTGGCTTCATTTCAAGTTCACCCGATAGCTCAAAGAATATATTGAGTGCGTCAAAAAGCTTCTTTGCTTGGGGATTGCTGCGATTGGCATTTATCAATCCCAACTGCTTGTCCAATGCAACCACCGAAACGGATTCAAGAGTAAATCGATTGATCTCCTCTTCAAAATTCTCGGGAACTTCAAGTGTGCTGCTGTTGCGAACTTCTCGTATTCTAATTGAGTACAGTAAGGCTGATAGAAACAATTTATACAATAGCATGTTTCTTAGATTCATTTACCGTTGAATGAACTCTTTGTTGACTGCTGACATTTTTTGATAGTACATACGAACAGTTTTCGGTTGCATCATTACTGGATTAACACTAAATCGGAACTTCGCCCAGTCCTCACCTTGTCTGTGAAATGCATGAATTTGCGTATATTCTTTGAAATTTCCATATCTAAGAAAATGGGAGTTTTAGCTTACGTTGATAATATTCCTGGGGTACCCTTGTAAAATTCCTTTCGCGTCACTGTTCGAAAATAGTGCAATATGTTATTGCCTGGACGCTCCGGCCAGGGTCCTTCGGCACGTAGAACTTGTTCAAAGTGTAGCGGATCGTTCGATACAAGAAACTCATAGGATCCCAAATTGGGCAATCTGAAGAGAGGACCATACTGGCGACGCATGTCCAACATAATATCTGGAAACTGCATCTTATAGTATTTTCCGCCAGGCATCAAATGGCGCATGAAGTAAAACAGGGAGACCTTGGGTATCTCATTGTATGGGCGTGCCTGGTCCCATCCAATAGGCTTCCCTATGTTTGTCTCATTTTCCGCTACGTTTAATGCTTTAGTCACAGCATATGTTTGTTGGCGCTGAGCTCGAAATCAATAATAATGATAAGATAAACAACAAATATATACATCATAATTGTAATAATCGCAATTCATGCCGAAAATAAAATAACCTGTTCTAATGGTATAGCCCGTATCAGCTGCTGTAGCTTGACTCTCTGCCTAAACATTTTACACTCACGATCAATTGAGAACTGAGCAACAAGTTTGTTTACTTCGGATTTTATAAATTTGCTCAAAAGCTTTTTCAATTTGTGTATATGGGAGAGCACAAAATATTAGCACATCTAACAATGATATGAAAGCTTTGGGCTGAACTGATTCTCTTTATAAATATGATCGTTAAAGAGTCTAAGCAATCTCTCTATAGAATATACTATACATAAAAATATATACATAAATAGTTTTTTCAAGAGATTTTTCATGAGTATTGTATGAATACTCGCAGAATGTAATTAATTAAGATCATTAAAAGACAAACTCGTATTTAAAATTGTGAAGCAGTAAAATAAAATACAATCAATTATGTATATTACCATTAAATTATCAAATCATAGATTAGAATAGATATAAATAAATATAATCATTTTATAGACTTTCGAGTTTATTTATTTGAATATTGATAGGTATACAATATCGTATCGAATGTATATTTAAAACAAACACCAATGTTTTCCTTTACAAACCGATATTAGACTTTCAAGAGTTGTTAACGGTTATTACGTATAAGTATGTAATTTATGTAAGTATAAATAGTCGCATAGAATAACTTAGAATTACAAGTAAACTACAATTAATTCAAGTTTCACTGTAGACAACGTTTTTACAAGTTAATTTCCATGCGTTGTTCGATTTGGCACGCTTGGCGAAATGGGGTTTACATAATGTATATGGTTAATGTCGTATCGTTTAAATCGTTTTAAGGATAGTTCATAATAAGTATTCGATAAATACCAAATCGATTATATGTACGAAGTTTAACGTATCGAATATGTCTCTCTGGGACATTAAAGTCCAACATATCAAAATATACTTAAACTACAACTCAGAGGACTAAGAGCCTATGACAATCTGGGATAATAAATATAAGGCTATGATAAGTCGGCGTTGTTCGTTGTTCATTGGGACGCCTGTTGCTGATAGCTGCATACGATTTTGGCCGCATCGTTCATCATTTTGGCCGTTGAGCGCACAAGGAACATCAGGTGACACTCATCGTAGACGGTCAGCTCGACGCGCGTGCGCACTAGGCCGTGCAGCACTGTAGCCCGCTCTAGGTCCAGCCAGCGCTGCAGCGCGAGCTCACGTTCCTTTGTCGTGCCGGAGAGCGCCACATCAGACGGACCCCAGAGCACAAACTCAAGCACTGCCTTGGCCTTCGACAGAGATTCGGCGCGTTCTTGTTGCAAAATATCGGCCAGAATGGGCGTAATCTTCGTGGTGGGCAGCATCTCGGTCAACGCGCTGTGAGCGCACTTGCATAGCGTACCCATCGGTTCGTCGTCGTCGTTGTTATTGCTGTAATATAAGAGGTTATAGTTGAGTTCGTAAATGACCAGATTTTCGTACCCTTGTAAGACACAGAGTCGCGCCTGCGCATCCTTGTTATCCATGTCCTTGGAGAGTACCACATTCGACAGACTTAATGGGGTCTCCTCAATGGCCTTCGCCTGCAGATTCTTCATGCCGTTGACCAGCTGTAGCATTATGAATGCCACCTCACGCGTCATGACATCATCGAAGGCGGGCATTGCATGGGGCGTGGCTGTGATCTCCTCACCGTCTTTGGCCTCGGTGTTGCCAGGCGATGTCGACTCCTCATTCAATGTGCTGAGATTCTGCACGGAAACCACATTTCGGAGCGCATTGCCACCAGCTGCATCCTTCAGGCTATTCAGATTTGGTATGGAGCCTCGGAAGTTAAAGTTGCTCTTGTCCAGCACTTGAGACTTGCCCTTCAGTATGGAGCCGATCGATTGCAGCGTCTCCAGCTGTAGCCTTGGCAGCACCGATATTGTGGCCTGCAGCAGTGTCACCTCCGTTGTGGGCATCAGTGGGAGCTGGTAGCTGGGAACCAGGTCGCAGAACTCCGTGATGGGATTGAGCACATCGCAAACGCCTCCCGTCAGTTGGCTCAGCTCGCCCCCAACGCCCGCCAGCTGATTACAGTCGGCCGACAGCGCCAAGGTCACGGGCGATGTGGTCCACAGTGCCGCATGGAAGGCCTTCTTGCCCACGACAAAGGCCTGAGCGCCCTCAATAATGGTAAAGTCCTCGTAGCGCAAGTTAATCGCATTGGCCAGCGGTCGCAGTGAAGCTGGCACAACAGGCGTTTGTTGAAGCTGTTGAGGTATTCAATTCATTAATATACATTGTTTTGGGTCGGTTTGGTGTGCAGCTGGGACGCACCTGATCGAGCACCTGGGCAAGTGCCTCGTGATTGGCCACTACAACCGCTGTGTAGTTGTCTTCGATGTTCTTGTGCACGACACTGCGTCCCTTGCGCATGCGCAAACGATTCGTGGCCTTGCTGCGGTTCTTGTTGCCCTAAATGGAATAGCAGTTCGTATCTTAGGATGTTTTCTCGAATATTAAAATTGATCTAGCTCACCGTTGGCATGCCCCAGACGCTGTCGTTGATGTCCGTAGCCACATCTCCCCCAGCCTCGCTGCCGTAGTAGCTGTACGGTGCATAGATGTCGAGGTCACCTACTTCGCTGCCCGCATATGAAGCCGAGATGACGCGTGGAATGTTGGCTACGAAATAAGACAGTTCAGATAGGATTAGGCGCAAGACTTCTATATAGCATTTAACTTACCTAAGCTGCTGTTCAGGCCGTAGTTGCGTACGGGACCGTACTCGCTGCGCGTATA